GTTGGAATATATACTGTCGACCAAGCCGTTTTCAGCCTTATCTGATACTCCTTTCCTCTTTTCCTCATACCCATGACTACAAGATTCTGACATTTCACTATACAGTATCGCCTAGGACTAGCGAAGAAACTTGCGTGAGTACCTCTAGCACCTCTCCCTGAATGATGAATTCCCTTCGATGGGCGGACGGAACGGGTCCATTAAGCCCTAGTGTACAAAATGGGTGGGCCCGCATTTGTCGATATTTCATCGATTCCCTGACTCCTCGTTCTTCCCTCTTCGTATCCTTGTGACTAACCTGCTGACTTGTTTTCTTCAGGTGATGAACGGATCATTCAGGATTTGACTACGTTGCAGACTGCTGTTTCTCCTTGATATCGAGAGGTAAATGCAATACAAGTGACCTTTTCTCTTTTCCTATGAGGCTACGCTGGCATGACCTGTGAGACTGCAAATCTTGAGAAGACACGGCCAACCTGATCTGAGTGTTGAGAAGAGTCACGTAGCGCTTAGCTTTGTATTCCCTCTATGGCAACTGAGGCGGCGCGCCTGTCGTATAAATAAGTTTTAACTGTGCGCGCCGAGGGTATGCTATGAAAAGGGTCGGGTACGTCAAGGTTTGGACCTTGTGCCTACTTTACAATCTCGCTCCCTCCCCATCCCACGTATGTTGCATCAACTACCCCCAGAAATAATACAAAAAATCGTAATTCATGCGTGTCCGCTTATCTCGCTGTCCCTATCGCGTTCGGAGTCGACGACAGTGAAAGCCGACCGTAGAAAAGGACAGACAACTCGGGCCAAGAATGACAAGGGAGCAACACATACTAGTTCGGGAGGAAAAGAAGCGCAGACGAATGGAGCGAAAAGTGATGAAAGAACAAATGGCGCGCGCCACTTTGATGTATCACCCCCGAGCGTTATCTCGAATATTGCGCAAACTTGTTCGGCTATCTATGGAGCGGTCGAGTACAAGAACAACGCCTGGCTCTATGCGCGAGTATTTGAGAGGACATTCGACTTTGGAGCAGCCGACGTCGATTAGGAGAAGTTTGGGCAAGTGCTCATGGGCTGGCTTGGGAGGGAAGACGGAGATGGGAAATGGTACGCCGAATCAAAAAGGCAGTCGCAGTTTGGGAAAAAGGTTGGTCTCATCTGTCTACAAAAGAGCCACTGTAGCTATCTATGACGTTGGAAAAGATACTGATGCCATTTCTCGGCGACTTCTAGACCAGTGCCGAGGCCTTTCGTGGATGGATACATATGGCGAAGAAGACATACGATCAGATTTATGGACTATTTATCTTATGCTTTTGGAAAACGATGGAAGAAATGGAATCTTCCTAACCTGTGGCGCAAGGCTGTCACAGTTTATCGAGATGTTGTCGGCCGTCTTCCTTGGAAAGCGCGTGATACGAAGAACAGGGTGGCCAATCGAGACTCAAGAACGGTCGCTACTGGCTTGGATACTCTACATTATGGACCCAATGCGTACGTCCTCTAATTTGTCAATCGTAGATACACTCAACTCACTGCCCATGAACAGCGGCCGACTTTGAAGATCAAGATTTGTACAATGAGACCAAGCTTTCTATGCGCTCTTTCCTTTTCGCTTCTTTCAAAGTATGTTATTTCGCTTCCTTCTTTAGTAAATCTTACAAGGAAATAGTATTCCCTCGGCATTCTTCCACCAACATACTTTGATCACCCTTCACCACTTGCTAGCTCTACCCACCATTTATCAAATAGTACTCCACTGTATCCCTCAAGACCACTCAATACTACCTCTTCCAAGCTATTCGAGAGGTGGATACCTCCACCCACCCCGCCACTGTTCAAGTATTCAAACGATCCTTTAATTCCTGTTCAATACTACTCTCGAGTTATATTCCTATACGCACCGAGCATAGCTGTCGCCGCTATGCTCTGGTATTTTAGAGGTCACGATGACCGGATGTATCGGGGCTTACCGGCGGGGCTGTTGGGTGTCGATAATAGTAGGTTTGGGGATCTGAGGACACCCCAGAGGCGGAATCCAAATGGAGCAGGAGGAGAAACACTCGACTCACCTACTTCATCCGACTCGTTGGGCTCACGTCGTGTCCTCTCTCCTAATCGCCTAGCCCTCAGCCCGACACCATCTAGACCGCGCTCTATCTCTCCAGCTTCATCCACTACGAGCCTTCGACATGAGGTGCCAGGGTGGACGTCTCCAGTACTGTGCACCATCCCCTCGGCTTCCACAACCGACCAGCAGAACCACTTTATCAGGACTTTCTACGAAGAAGTAGACAAGAGGCAGTTCAACTGTGCCAGTAAGCAGTTTGAACTAGAGTGGACTGGTCGCTTGGACGATACGATGCGGTTTGGAGGGTCGAATCCCAATTTGGGTTATAAATTAGGCTCACTGGAAGGAGTATGGGAAGGCGGGTTCTTGGTAAGTGGAATGCATGTATCTCTATACTACTTTTTACTTATTCCATCCGGGATAGTATCTCGACTTTACCGACTATGCCAAATTCCTGACAGGAGAGTCGGAAGCCAACCCCGACTTTTATCAAAAGTCTCCCGATGACCTCTATGGATCTAATCGCCAAGTGTGGCGCCTCAAAGAATACGTATACGAAGAGCGCCAAGGAAGTACATGGGATCGGGACCATCCCCCTCGGTATCCCATGTTGCAGACTGCTGGCCCACTGTCTGTGGGCAAGTGGATTGACGGATGGCTACCTCCCGCAGATATGTTGGAGTGGCGGTTATCGGATGAAGGCGATGAATTGGATATCATCGAAACGATCCACCCGTCTTCTCTTCAGTCGAGTGGGTTTGGAGTGGGATTCGAACAGATGAAGAAGGAAAAGAGGATAAGTGAGGAGGATGCCGACGACTTCGTTACTCATGCACCAGCTGAACAGCGCCGGAATAGTAAAAAGGGTGTCGGCAAGATTCGAGGACGGACGGTGGATCTGTCGTCTGCTACAGAGACCAAGCTTCGACCCGGTAGCACTGCGAAGTCGACCCCTGTCAGCCCTATGGTCACGAATGCCAATGTTCACTCCGTTCGATCACCCCCATTGTCGTCTCCTCCCAACGCCCGGACTAGTGTCGTCATCAATAAGGATCTCACATCACCCAAGTCACCAGAGACACCAGAAGAAAAGAAGAGGTTTAGGTGGAGCTGGAAGCCTAAGAAGAAGGACAAGAACCAAAAGGAGGAGCCACGGCGGTCGAGTCTGCCTCCTACGAAATCTTCCATGACCGTCTCGCCGTCGACTCCAGAACCAACTAGTGGGCGTGAACGAAGGACTGGTTCTGATGAGCCAGTTGTTCGTATTGACTTGGAGATCAATCCATTCGAGCTCGAAGATGAAGAACCCGAGCCTCCTCGCCAGAATGAAGATATAGAGTACGATGGCGAGGAAGAAGCTCCAGTGTATGGTCCGCCACCACCGCCTTCGACCTATCAGCAGATAGCACGGTATGTGCGGTACAACCCGAATGTCCAATGGGCGAAAAAGGCGATATGGGGTACGTCGAGCGGCGCAAGCCGGTCTAACTCGACAAAGTATGGAAGTGTGGGCAGGAACAGTTTGACGTATCAGCATGCTCGAAGTGGGACAGCAGGGTCTCCGCAGTATGGCGCCTCGAGACGGACGACGATGTCGGCCGCTGCCTCTTCAGCAGGAAAGATGCCATCTGGGTCTGCTGAAGACGAAGACGTGAGTCGGAGTATCGAACAAAACGGTATCAGCGATGTGCTTGTTTTCGGAGAGGTGCGTAATTGGGTGTGGCTCCCGCTTTTGGAAGGTTATTTAATTTGCCGATAGTCGCATTCTTCGTGGGGTCAAGCTACGCTCCGTGGCCGTATACGGCCTTGTGACGGCCTCATTACGCTGGTGAAGAATTATGTAAGTGTTTCTTTTCTTCTCGGTAACCCAACTATTTGACTGACTATTTATGCTGACAGCCGCAACGGGCTACTTGGATATACACCGGCTACATTGTCGGAGGGGAAAGTCTGGTGACTTGGGTGATGTGAGATCCTTATTGATGACGACACTAGTCCGGGCGTTGGGAGGAGACGACA